TGAATGAGATTTAAGCATCCTCCCTAGGGTCCTCCTTAGTGTTTAGCTTCTTTAGGTCTATAGATAGCTATCCTATACTATACAGCTAATATCAGCTTATAAGTGAGTGTATACGATGCATGTCTTTCTGTTTCTGGATTACCTCCCTCAGGATGATCTTTTCTAGTTCCCACTATTTGCCTGCAAATTTCATGGTTTCCTTGTTTTTAATTGCTGAGCAGTATTCCATTGTGTAACTATGCCAAAATTTCTTTTTTATTTTTATTTATTTTTCATTATTATTATTATTATTATTATTTAGAATTTATTCATGTTGTATTCCAGCTGTAGCCCTCTCCCTCATCTCCTCCTGGCTCTACCCTATGTCTCTACCCTAGTGCACGATAGGGGAGGTCCTCCTCCCCTAGTATCTGACCCTAGAATATCAGGTCTCATCAGGACTGTCTGGATACTCTTTCTCTGTGGCCTATTAAGGCCACCTTGCCAGGGAGAAGTGATCAAAGAGCAGGCAACCATTACTCTATTGAGGGACATCTAGGTGGACATCTAGGACATCTAGATTCTGGCTATTACAAATAAAGTTGCTATGAACATAGTTGAGCAAATGTCCTTAATGGTAGAACATCTTTTGGGTATTTTCCCAGGGGTGGTATAGCTAGGTCTTGAGGTAGAACTATTCACAGTTTTTTAAGAAAGTGCCAGATTGATATCCAGGGAGGTTGTACCAGTTTACATTCCCACCAGCAATGGAGGAGGGTTCCCCTTTCTCTACATCCTCCCCAGCATGTGTTGTCTCTTCAGTTTTTGATCTTAGCCATTCTGATGGGGGTAAGATGAAATCTCAGGGTCGTTTTGATTTGCATTTTCCTGATAACTAAGGACGTTGAGCATTTCTTTAAGTGTTTCTCTGCCTACGTAGATAGAAAATTTATTTTCTTAAGGGCAATAGTTCCAAATTGGCTATGACTTTGCCCCTTAAAGGACACAGGCAGTATCAGTATTCACAGAGTCATAGAGTGGTGTGACTGGTTTCTAGTGTGCTAAAGAGATGGTTCAAGTTATCAAGAGCCCTTATTCTTACAGGGGACCTGTGTTCAGCTCTCAACACCCATATTGTGGCTCAAATCCATCTGTAACTCTTGACTTCTGTGGGCACCCAGCATGCAGGTGGTCACATACATAAATGCAGAAAAAACACTCATGCAAATAAAAATAAGTAAAAAAATATAAAAAAATAAATGTTGTTATATATTCTATAATGCACAGCACAACCCCTGAGGGGGAAGGAAACACAAAACTGTCAAGCTTCAAATGTAAAGATGCTGCTCTTGAGAGAATGGGTTCCAAAGTTAACACGAGAAAGTTAGATTTCTGGTTATTAGCTGTGTGTTTGACTACATCATCAAATGTATGTTTAAGTTTGTAAAATACTCTATACAGTACCTTTGTATCTTTATAAGACACTTTCTAAAGCATACTTTATAAGATACTGGCATCATTTTACTCTGCTGACTAGTAAAATATGAGAACTTCAGTTTTTCTCCATCCTTCTCTAAATACTTGGAATTACCAGATTTTTTTTTAATTTGACATTCTAATACGTGTACAGTGATATTTCAGTATAGCTTTAGTACTTATTTTTGTAAAAAATTAGCACCTGTTATTTATACAAAACATTAAATTTCATTATGACATTTTTATCCTTAACTGCTTTTTTTTTTTTAAAAAAAAGATTTATTATTTATACAGTATTCTGTCTGCATGTGTGCCTGCCGGCCAGAAGAGAACAACAGATCTCACTCTAGATGGTTATGAGCCACCAGTCCTCTTAACCTTCGAACCATCTCTTTAGCCCTCCTAATTAATTTTATGCTCCCATATAATATTCATCTAGTTATAGTCACCATCAAATTCCTATCTCCTTCTTACAGAGTTGGTAATAATCAATTCCTACCACATTCTGCACCTAGGAACAGTTACAATTCTGTTTCTCAAAGGGTACTTTACTTTCACTGTACACTGAAGTAAGACAAGCATACAAACAGTTGAGATCTTTCCTACTCACTCTAAAAATTATCTGTTTATATTTAAGATTCTCTGGCACACTATCAGTGGCTAATAAAAATAAATCTATTCAGTCTTCCCACTTCCTTGGACGGGAACATATGTCAAAGGTCACTGTGGGCCTTATTGCTCTGGAGAAGACATCAAACACTATATTGAAAAAGTTGAACATGGACATTTTTGTCTTGTTTCCAATTTTAGAGGAAAAGCTTTAGGTTTTTTTCCCCATTTAGGTTTGTTCACTGTAGGTTTGTTCACTGAAATAAGTCATGTTCAGATAGATAAATATCACGTTTTTTGTCATATGTACAATATAAAGGGGAACAAAAGCAAAAAAAGGGTGAAATGAAAATGGGTCAATTCTAGGCATTATTATATACTAGGGATATAAAATATGTATTATGTATATTGATTTTAAATGCTACACAATGTATACCAGGAAATTACATAAGGGGACATGGAAAAAAAATAGAAGGACAAATAAGAAACAGCTGGGAGCTGGGTGTGGTGGTGCACGCCTATAATCCCAGCACTCACTGAGGCAGAGGCAAGTGGATCTCTGTGAGTTCAAGACCAGCCTGGTCTACAAAGCGAGTCCAAGACAGTCAAAGCTACAGAGAGAAACATTGTCTCAACCCCCACAACCCCCCCCCCCAAAAAAAAAATAGAAAAAAAGAAAAGAAAGAAGGAGCAGGATTAGGTAGCTATCCTAGCCTACATTCAGAGTCTTGGGCCCTAATGCCCTGCACAGCTCCGTCAGTGTTTTACCAGGCCCAGGGCAATTATGCTTCTCTTTCTTTTTCCCCAGCAAGGAAGGCTACGCAATATGAGCCGCCTACCATTCAAGATCTGCCAACTCATCCATCCAAACCACAGTGTGCTAGGAAGCAAACTAGCATGTAAATACTATGTTGAGAAAAATTTTATTAATGTGTATTGATTGTACAAAGGTGTTTTATTATTACATTTACGCTATATGTATAATATACTTTGAGCATACACACTAGTGTATTACTCTTTGTTATCTGCCCTTTCCCCCTTTGTCTTATGATACAATACTAAAATCAAGGTGAGAAAGTGGATATGAGAATAATATCTAAGCTCTCTCTCTCTCTCTCTCTCTCTCTCTCAGCCCTCTCTTTTTCAGGTCTAATTGACAACTAGACCTTTACAACTGGCTTTGGAAGTTGGAAGATGATAGTTCTCTGGGCTCTATCAGCAGCTCTAGAGGTCCTAGGCTCTGATATTAGGTGTTAGCCACAAAAACCAGCCAGTAAAATCCCCTTTAGTAAAGTCCAGGGCTGACAAACCTCACTCTCATATACATAGCTTTGTGTTAGACCTTAAAAAAGATTTAAAGTGTGTGTGTGTTGTGTGTGTGTGTGTGTGTGTTTGTGTGTGTGTGTTTGTGTGTGTGTGTGTGTGTGTGTGTGTGTGTAGGGGGAAATTATGTGCTCGTGATTGTAGGTATTCTTGGAGGCCAGAGTCATGAGATTCATAATTTGGCTCTTCTTTCTGGAAGAGCAGTGTATGCTATTAACTGTTAAACCAACTCTCCAGCCCCATATGTTAATCTTCTTACAATTTGCTTTTGTTGTTGGTTGGTTGGTTGGTTAGCTTGTTTTTTGTTGTTTTATGAAAGCCCTGGCTTTCCTGAAACTCACTATTGTAGACCTGCTGGCCTCATACCAACTGTGTCTGCTTCCCATGTACTGGGATTAAAGATGTGTGCCACCACTCTTGGCTTTGATCTTTCATTTTAAAATATAAGTAAGGTTTGGTTATGATTCTCAGTATCTGCTTTGATACAATGCTAGGTAGAATCTTTCAGAGGCCCTCTGTGGTAGGCTCCTGTCCTGTTGCCTGTTTTCTCCTACGTCCAATGTCCATCCCATTTGTCTTTCTAAGTGAGGATTGATCATCTTACCCCGGGTCCTCTTTCTCATTTATCTTCTTTAGGTGTATAGATACTGAGACTCATAATCAAACTTTCGGCAGAGTGCAGAAGGGGGAAAGAAGGGGGAGTTAGCATGACCTGGAGAGGACAGGAGCTCCACAAGGACCAAATATATCTGGGGACAGGGGTCTTTTAGGAGACTTTTTCTCCAACCAAGGACCATGTATGGATATAACCTAGAACCCCTGCTCGGATGTGGCCCATGGTAGCTCAGTAACCAATTGGTTTCCCATAGTAAGGGGAACAAGGACTATTTCTGACAGGAACTCAATGGCAGGCTCTTTGACACCTCCCCCCCCCCCCCCCCAGAGAGAAGCAGCCCCGCTAGGCCACAGAGGAGGACTTTTAGCCAGTCCTGAAGAGACCTGATAAACCAGGGTCAGATGAAAGGGGAGGAGGTTCTCCCCTATCAGTGGGCTTGGAAAGGGGCAGGGAGGAGATGAGGGAGGGAGGGTGGGATTGGGAGGAAATGAGGGAGTGGGATAACAACTGGGATACAAGTTAATAAACTAACTAATATTTAAAAATAAAAAAGAATAAAAAAGTAAAATATAAGTAAGAACAGAAATTTTATCTGACATTTTTGAAAAGCTATGGCATGAAAGAGAGGGCCCAAAACAGATGGGAGAAAATAAAACTGTGCTAGAAGGATAAATCTTTAAAAATTATATTATTACCAATACTCAAAGATGAGCTATTAAAATAATAAGCCAGGAATATCTATTGTATTAATTAAGAACATTAACAGGTCAGAAGTTCCTACTGTACAACCAAGAGGATCTAAATTCAGATCCCCAGAAAAATCACACATTGAAAAATCTGGACATGGCAACAAGTGCCTCTAATCCCTTGCTGTACTGTGTTTGAAATGTCTACTATTACTCAAATGTGAAGAACTCAGATCACACAAACTAGCCTTTTTCCCAAATGCAGCTTAGCTCTTAATTATTTGTCTCAGTCTTGTGATGTTTGTTCACAGGAGGAATACAGAGCAGTCAATTCCCTGAGCAGTAGTGCTCTTACTTGGACAAAGAAATTCAGCCTGGATTATCTGGCCCTGGACTTCAATTCAGCATCACCAGCTCCTGTGCAGCAGGTAGGAACAATTTCTAGGTAATTCTACTTCTGCTTAGATTTTTCTAATGATAAAATCATGTGTTTAATCAAAATACTAAAATTAACCTTCGTCCTGCAACTTAGAAAAAATAAAGTCCCCCTATATTTCCTTTATGGTATTTTCTTTGGGTACCTATGTATAGATACATGTAATTCATACTTTCAAATTTGGGGGCCCCAAAAGTTATAGAAAAAATTCTTTTGCAGATATGAGGGTGGGGTACACAGGGCTCTTGAGGCATAGGAAGGGCTAGTTTACAGAACAAATACTAGCTTAGTCTATCTAGTTGTTAAAGAATGATGAAAAGGAGCTCTAAGTTGAAGTGGATCTCAGTGAAAGTCCTTGAATGCAGTTTCAACTCCATTGGGTAGTATTATTGTCTGTATAGTAGGCATCATTAGGACTGTGAGGACTGAGTGATTAATAAGTGGTGTTAGTTATTAATTGATGTCACTAAGTTAACAGCAATAGTCATAAAATGGATGATGGTATGTGAGCAAGAGGTAGTCATGATTCACACTAAGAATGTATTGTTTGGTAGCTAAAAAACAATCCATTTCATAGTGTATATAGAATGATTCCATTTGTGTATCTGTTTACATTCCCAAACACTGCTCCAATGCTGAAGCAAAGTCAATGAGACAAGTAAGAGCAACAAGTACAGAAGGCACATTTGTCAGTTTGAGTATACTATCTACTCAAAGCAGACAAACTCAGGTGCTTATAGGAAAAAAAAGAGCATTTAGCTATTACTAGTAAGGAAGACTATTGCAGGCCAGGGCCTTTGTGCTACAGACAGACTTCAACCTAGGGCTCTTGGCTGAGGGAAAAACAGAGATACTGAATTCCACCATCTTTCTACTTAGCGTCAGTACACATCACTTCCACTAAGCAAATCAAACAACTAAAGAGATGCTTACAAGCACACATACACATGCAATATCAAGTGTCTATAGGGAGAAGAGGAAGTAAATGTAACCTGCCAAAGAACGTCTACATTGAGATGAAATTAAAACCATTTTGTCCTCCCCCTTTAGAAACCTTTCCTTTCAGAAGAGCAGAGAGTGGATTATGTCCAAGTGGATGAGCAGAAGACACAAGCTCTCCAGAGCACCAAGCAGGAGTGGACCGATGAGAGGCAATCCAAAGCGTGAGAGGTGTGGGCAAAGTGTGCAACAAGGAAGCTTACGAATATGTTTTCAGTTTCTCCACTAAAAATATACCAGTGATCGGTATAAGGCAAAACCAAGAGTGTCGTTTGGGGAGTCTTGGCAAAAACTCACAGAAAAAGAGAAAGTGAATGCTATAGTTACAGATGTTAATGTTTAAAAGAAAAAAGGAATTCATTCAGGCAGAGTAGGAACAACAAGAAAGGATTACAAAAGTGTTTTCTCAAGCACTCTGTTAAAGTTTTGTCAAATGGAATATTTGAGGCAAAATTTGGAACCAGTATTAACAGCAACAGGAGGATGTTATTTGCATTCAGTATCTGATATTCTCTCCTATCCCCTACATTTTGATTGTAATAATAAATTATCCTAGCAAAGGAAGGGGACTTAGTGATGGTCTTGCCACAACCCCTGAAGACATAGTTGAGGAGATCAAGTCTAGCAATGGTGCTTTTACATCTTTACAACAAAGATTTCATTGGGCCAGTCATTTCTGTTCCCAAAGCAATATAACTGCAGTGATGGGGAGTGGATCTGTCTCGACATTAAGGGATGGCAGAAGTCGAAGTGTAACTCCTCAGTAAAGGCTCCATGATGAACATATCAGATGACACTAGGAGAACTGAAAGCATGGCTTCTGTTTGCTATTCTGTAGCTGTTTGCCCTTTGCCCAGCATACTTTTGTGTGTATCATCTCATATCTTCCAAAAGACTTCAGAAGTAAGACATTCAGAGACTGTTACTCTCACTTTGAAGAAAAGAAAAATGAAAAGCGGAAGAGTAAACATATTGCTCAAAATTACTCGCAAAATTGAGACATAATGTCAGGCTTAGGGCTGTCCAGACTATGAGCTGCAGGCTTATTCTTCTGCCTTATATTACCTTGAGAAGTCAGATGAGATCCACCAACTGAGTCAGTCTTGGTGACCTGTGGGAAATACCTGCAGACATAAGATGAACCATCACCTCACCTTTTCATGATGATGTGCACAGATGCTTTTAATATTTGAAAGGGAAACATTTGCAGTAAGGGCCTCTGTATGATGTTACAGTACCTCCTGGTGGCCAGTCTGAGATACATTCTTGACCACATAGTCTCATATACAATCAACATTTTTCTTTGCTTTGTGAGCTGATTGGTGCTGGCAGAGGAATTTTTAGCACCTCAGGGAAGACATAAGTTGTCAATAGTCCCTGTGAATGACTCATACTTTTGTGTGATAAAAATGACCTGAAAAAACCTAAAAACAAGTTCTACTCTCAGATTTCCTGACTGTATTTCTCCTATACTTGAAAAATGACTAACTCCTAAGACTGAAAATTTACTTGTTTCCCTTTATGATTCTGGAGGCTGAGGAACCCAAACCAAAGGTCTCATTAGAGATTGGAGTGTTACTTAATTTCCTTTCTGATCTTTCAGAGAACTTATAGCTAGACCATATAAATGAACTACGAAATTAATAGATCCAGCTCTGCCACTTCAACCTGGCTATTGGGTGTTATATATGAAAATAGATCAAATAGGCAGCCATCTCTATGAGAGACAGCATAGCCAGGCTTTGTCATATGGTGTCAGCATTTCATACTACCTCAAATACAAATAAGTAAAAAAAAAAATAATAATGCCATGTAAGAAATCACTTTGATTTTCAAAAGAGCAGGGTTCTGGTTACTACATCATTTTTTTTTTCATGTGAAAGTGGAGAAATTGCCAGGGGCTTTAAACAAGTTCAAGGATCTTAGTATACTTTGACCTCATATCTAGCCCCATGCCACAACACACAGGGCTGTGAGGAGTTTCCTTCTCCCTATAACAGACAAACAACCACATAAATCCCAAGCAGAAATCCAAGGCTATAAATGCTTATAGACAGGAGCCAACCTTCCCCAGGTATAAGATACTTGTGTTTGGATCATTGATTACCTGGAAAAAGTTAGTGAAGGGTCAGGAACCACACAGTGATGAAGACAGAAGTTATAGCTCAAGTTGCCCGCACGGAATGTCAAGTCAACGTACAAATTTATTTTACCTACAAAACATTTCTAAGGATGTATTTTCAGGATTAGTATGTAAGTTAATACAACCCTTTTGGATATGCTAAAAACAAGAATACCCTAAGTAATCACTCTTTTACAAGGTAAAAGATGATATTTCTAGGATGGCCTGCTTTGATAAACCTGCTAAAGGATGGCTGCCTAAGAGCACAGTGAAACAAAGCAAAGGAATTTATAAACTGGAAGTAACAAGTGCCCCTAAGAAAGTTACCGCTCAATCAGAGTAGTGCCATCTAAATCTTGTTTTCTTGTGGAAGCAGCATATATGTAAGAGAGGTTTCTGTTTTTAGCCGAGGGCCTGGTGTTTGCTATAGGAATGATAGCAGAGAACATTTTGAGTTAAATGTACATGGCTTAGCTTTACACTGTTCAATGGACACCTTTCTGAGAACTCTAGGGACCACTTCAATAAGACAGTGTTGTTATCAATTTCACTCTGTTTTCTGCGGCTCCTTTCTGTTTTATTCCCAGTGCAGGATGGGGAACAGGAGGCCTTCAGCCTGCAAGTGGGAAAGCTGCAAATCCAGGAGCAGTGAGGAGTTAGCTTTCCTTAGGGAAGGAGGCCTGAGGCACACACACCCTGCCTGTAGAAGGAAAAAATAATATAGCTATAGTTGTTTCACTATACAGCTGGAATCAGATGAACCATCATGACTTGTAGTTCAGTGTCCAAACTTAAGAAGCTCACTAAGCATTCCTCTTCTTAATGATCTCCGTAGTCCCCCAACTCATATAATTTTTGTACCAACAATGACACTGATTTTTCAATTTTATTTCACTTTTACTATTTCATTTCTGGCATTAATAAAAGTTTTATAAGGAGGAATTGTGACTGAAGTTCTCATTAATTTTAAGTGGTGGCACTCGTTGTAAATAAGAAGCATGTTTGAAAAGCTGGGCATTTGAAAAAAGGCTTCATTACAGTTTTCAAGTGTGACAAACTTAATCATACTCAGGTGCAATGACATACCCATGTTATCTGAGTGCAAATAGTTGAATAGATGGCTGTCACAAACAATGCTTCTACTCAGCCAAATCTTGACATCTTTTTTTTTCTTCATCAAAAACTAGATTCATTAGATGTACAGATTTTAGTAGGTTTATCCTATATTATATGTCTATATGAGTGAGTATATACCGTGTGTGTGTTTTTGCTTCTGGGATAGCTCACTCAGGATGATCCTTTCCAGTTCCCACCATTTACCTGCAAATTTCATGATTTCCTTATTTTTCATTGCTGAGTAATACTCCATTGTGTAGATGTACCACAATTTCTGCATCCATTCTTCAGTTGAGGGGTATCTGTGCTGTTTCCAGCTTCTGGCTATTACAAGTAAAGCTGCTACAAAATAAACCTACTAAAATCTGTACATCTAAAGAAACTAATCAAGAGAGAGGACCCTCTCTTGGGTTTCATAGTAATGGGATGAGGAACTGCCTCTGACATAATCTGATTGGCCTGCAATTTGATCACCTCCCCCTGAGTGGGGAGCAGCCTTACCAGGCCACAGAAGATGACAATGCAGACACTTCTGATGAGATCTCGTAGACTAAGATCAGGAGGAAGGAGAGGAGGACCTCCCCTATCAGTGGACTTGGGGAGGGGCATACATGAAGAAGGGGGAGGGAGGATGGGATTGGGTGGGGAGGAAGGAGGGGCTTATGGGGGGATACAAAGTGAATAAAGTATAATTAATAAAAGTTAAAAAAAAACTAGATTCATGGTTGTGGAAAGGGCTGTGGGTTAGAAGTGTTTGTTTTGCAAGTGTGAGGATATTTTACATGTGTAAAGTTGGGCATAGTTGTCCATAATCCCAGGGAGGGGAGATGGGAGCCAGAGCCGGGAAACTCACAAGTCAGCTAGTAGGATATACACAATGGTGAACAACTAAAAGAAAGACAAGGTAAAAGGCAAAGACTGTCAATCCAAGGTTGTCCTTTGACTTCTATATGGACATCATGGCATGCGGTTGCACCCAGGCTCATGCAAGAATCTATGTCCATACTCACACTATATATCTTACACATGTTCATAGAGAACAAAGAAAAATTTTAAATGTTTTGAATAACACTCTAGATTCATTTATGACACAGGGGGTGCTGATGAGCCACTGCGATAGGATGGCTTTCCCAGTACAGGGAGCCCCATCATGGGGTGGGCATCCAGATGACAGAATGGGCCTTTCCTAATGCTGCTTCCACACACGAAAGAAGAGATCAACTTCACATATTACCTCTACTTTGTCAAACCCAGTTTGCTTCTATTCCCCCACTGTCTCTATTTTCATTTTTCAATTTTGAAGATATTTAATATACATTTAATTTGATTATACAGAAGTAAACAGAAGGGTTTGGTAGGGTTTTTTTTTGGTTGTTGTTGCTTTTGTTTTTTTTTTTTTTTTTTTTTTGAGGGGGTTGAGACAGGGTTTTTCTGTGTAACCTTGGCTGTCCTGGATTCATTTTGTAGACCAGATTAGCCTTGAACTCACGGAGATCTGCCTGACTGCCTCCCAGAATGCTAGGATTATAGGTGTGCACCACCGTGCCTGACTTGGTAGGTTTTTTTTTTAATGTTTTTTTTTTTAATTTGCTTTGCAGCCTGATAGAAGCCCCCCTCCTCCTAGTCTCACCCTCATATCCCTCCTCCCTTTCCCATCCCCTTATCCTCAGAGAAGGGAACCCCCCTCCATGGGTACCAACCTACTCTGGAATTTTAGGCGGTTGTGAGCTACACCACATGTGTTCTGGGAACTGAACTCAAGTCTTCTGGAAGAGCAGTAAAAGCTCAAACCACTGAGCCAGTTTTCTAGTTCCAGGGGAAATTATTATTGATTGGAAAGGGGAAAAAAACTGGAATGGAGAAAATGTTCTGATTCTCAGTATGGGTGGTAGATACACTGAAACAAAACAAAACAAAAATCTGAATTTGTACTTTTGTTGCATATAAAGTATACCATGACAAAACAGTTACCATGGAAGAGGAAAGAATAAGGCTCCTGGGACATTAGCAAGTCCTTGTAAGATATACAACTGTAAAACAACTAAAAGATACAGGAAA